ACTTTTGGATATTTTCTCGACATTTTGGGCTTCAATGCTTCATTAAATATTAAAAGAAATTATTTGGCTTCATGGGCTTCATTCTTTTGCTTTTGCCTTTGGGCTTTGGTGTTAAATCAAGGGGCCTTTGTTGAGAGATGAGAGTTTGAGATTTATTCTTCATTAACCTGCAATTAAAGATAAAAATAATTATTCGTGGTATATTTATTCATATCAAATAGATAATGAGGGTATAAAACTGTAATAAAATATGATTATCACAGGCTCCTTGAGGCTGGTAATTCTTTGATTCTTTTGTTTGCTTCGGAAGACACTATTCGGACATGTTCTGATCTTTGTCAGGCATTGGTGACTCGAGATGCTGGAGTTGTTTTGAGTTCTGATTGTGTTGTTTTCTTTTTAGAACTAGAGGTCATGCAAAAAGTTTCTAAAGAAACCTGCTTCTGTGATCATTGCTTCCGCTGACAGCACCGGTGCAATTCCATTGATACCGAAGCAGTCTCCAGGACACGCCGCTTATCACTTTCTAGCAGGCGATCAGGATGGAAAATTCTTGTCTGTTTTCAGCAGAGGTCCTTCGCCTATTGATCCGCTAGCACTTGCCATGGCCCTATTGTCACATTTAAAGAATAATGAGATCTCGTCCTTCTGGATCAATGTTAACAGTGGTGAGCTTATAGTTGATGAATCAGAGCAAATTCTGGACATGAGGTTGGTTGTCAAAGGGAATCGTTTGACAGATCAAGTTTTCATCAAATGGAAGGAGCGCACTTCATTAGATTCAACTTGGGAACCTTACTGGGAACTTGTTAAACAATTTCCTACATTTGCTTGTGCCGAGCAACAAATGACTGGTTTTGGTGGTGTAATCAGTTTTGAGCTAGCTGGAGGTTAGTTGTAGATTGTAAGGTTTCCTACATTGGACCTTGGGACAAGGTCCAATTTAAGGGGAGGGAATTGTCAGGACCTAATGAACAGCCAGGGGCTCTGTCAATTGAGCCAAGGACATTGGAAGCTTGAAGACTGGTAGCTTGGAGAGCTGGGAACTGATATACAAGATTTGGGGGACTGATACGCAAAGTTGGGGTGACTTGCAAAGACTTTAAAAGTTCAAGGGCTTGTAATAAATGTTCTGTTACAATTGTTTCCTGTTTCTGCTTACTGTTAACAGTGTTTGTGCACGTTTCTGTTGTGCCCGTGTCTGTAACTTTGGGATTTACAGTCGATTGGTATAAGTAGAGGAAATGTAAATCAAAAGGATTATGAAAGAAATGAAACAGAATCTGTTATTCTTCTCAAACTCAACTCATGTTCCCTTTCTCTCTTTCTCTATCAATCTTCAATTCTTGTCTAAATTTCTCTCAATTTCCTTCTCTATTTTCTCTCAAATTTCACCACAGGCACAGCCATGGCCGTGAATGGGCTCAGGAAGATGAGCAGGGGTTTCGGAACCTCACAGAAGATATGTTGGATTTTACTAGATATAGAGATTTTTAAATTAACAGTTCAAATTAATTGCAGGATATTATTTATTAGATCGATGGTTTAGACAAAAGGACACACGTTAAAATATTTTGTGAAGGAGGAATTTAATATGACATCCTCTGATGAGTTCAAAGGCTTTTTAGTTTTGATTTAATGTATACCTTAGTAAAAGATAGGATTTTATGCATAACATTACTTGGCTCTATTCGACAAACTCCACAAAACTAGACAAGGACTGATGTTGGCTTAGCTTTGAATTGAACCAGTTCTATTTTAGTCCAAGAGGAAGATGGATCAATATATAGAATCAAATTTAGCACAATATTTCTCAATAAGAGTCCTTTCCAAAATGAGTCCAAGATGAAACTTTATCCTATTTTGTGAGGCTGCCAAAGAGGCTCATAAGATAGTACTCTTGCGAAAATCGTCTTTAATATAATGGAATAACATCTTTGAATGTTCGCATTAAAAACACTTGTTAGGAAGCGTAGCCGGTTACTAAGTAGGGGTAACAAATGATGACCTGACACATTGATTCGAACCGACCCGCTATTAACAGGCATTGGCCAGTTAGGGCTGAGTCGACTCGGTTATAAATTAAACTGGGTACCACTCAACCCAACTGACCCGCTTAGCACCTTCATTGACAACCAAAGCGGTCGTATGTTCCCAACCTAAATGAGCCATTCTTTTCGATCTGGCCAAAAATCTCTTCGCGGAGCTATGAGCAAAAGCAGTAAGGCACTGTTTGGTAACCAAAAAAAGTGTCTTATCTAAAAGCTTGTGTCTTATTGACTTGGTCAATAAGCTAGTAGAACTGTTTGGTGACCAAAAATATGAGGAGATTATTTTGGAGATTGTGTTTTTTGCAAGTAGCTTTTGGAAAGCTATCTCAAGTAGCGTTTGTCTTTGGGAATGAGCTGCCAATTTTTTTTCCCTAATAATTCTAATTTTATATCAATAATATTGTATGTCTTTTTTAGTCATTTAACAAATTTAAGCTAGTTGTACAGCTACTTTTGCCAAACAGCTCTAGTCAATCAGTTAGCTACACAGCTAACAGCTTTCAGCTACAATTTCACAGCTTTCAGCTAGCTTAACAGCTTTCAGCTATAATCTCGTAGCTTTCAGCTAGTTTTGTCAAACAGAGCCTAAGTGGTGGGGACCAGTGACCAGCAGCAGAGGGAGGTGGCAAAGACCGCCTCATGCCAAATGTACTCTCCTCTTCAAATGGTTACTCCGGATTTTTGGCGTTATTTAGATTGGGTCCTACTTTGAACTACAGGCAGACTTCACGTCTGCAGAGGATTGCAGGAAGCCGCCACGGCTAGAGCTTTTGTAATCTATTCCATTGCCTTTCCTATTTTCCCATTACTTCATTTCGCTTTTTGGGTGTATTTCCTAATTTTGCAATTCAAAATTTATGCACGAATTTATCCTCTTTACCAAATTAATGCTTTAAGAAGTTTTCATTTATAGTAACAACAATTTAAATCCTTTTTAGTAAAAAACACAGCTTATTTAGATGATGTTTTGGAAAGAAATACTTTTAATTACAAATTACATGCCCTTTTTAATTTTAGCAAGCTACTCTCAAAATTAAAAGTAGATTGATTTTAAAGATAATTTGGTCACTTGTGTCAGGTGCAAGTAACACATCTAATAATAAACCGGTCAACCTAATTATTAAACACGCCGGGTCGAGCTTATATGGATCGGATCAAAACTGACCCCAACAGCATTGATGTAATCCAACTCATTTACCACCCCCTCATCATTTGAGTAGCGAAAAATGAGCTGCTAAAACACTAGGGAAAGTTAAGTACACGATTTAAGTTTTGGAATAAACGGCTATTGTTCTTATTACTCACTGCAGCAGATATACTGTAAATGTATCTAAATAGAAAATCAATGCTTACAGCGGCAAGTAGCAGCAAATATCACTTTATGGTAAGCTGTACGCAGCATAAATCAAACATGGAATCACAAACAAATTCAAGCCATTCTCAGCTATATGAGGTGACTGCTTTAGTTTTGAACAAAACGGTATTATCACTAGGAATTATTTCTGTCAAAATCGTTAATGTGCATGCTTTAAATAATGGCTTCCGTTTTGAACAGTCTTATCATCCTTGTTACTCCCTGAAGCAAGTATACAGTAAATATATCAAAATATGACATACATCCCTCAGCAGCATCGCGTTGCAGCAAACATCAGTTTCTGAAAAGTACTAACCAGTCAAAATCAAACATGGATTCACAAATGATTCAAGTCATTATCAGCTTTAAGGCGTATCCCCATTCACAGGGTATACCTATAAAGGCGTATCCCCATTCACAGGGTATAGCCATAAAAGCCACATCAAGAAATATCTAACAAAAGGAACCATCAAAGAATAGATTTTAACTTGCGCTAAAATTCTACATCAAACTGGTTAATGTGCACGTTACTAATATATACATTTAGCATAAGAAAAAAACTCAAATCCAAGAGCATCTTAAGTAGTGCATATCAGTCAGTCGAGCGCTAGCCTGAAATCTTGAGTATAATAAGGCGTGCATTACCACTAGTTCATATCTTCATGATATGCATGCCGAAGAGAAAAACAGTATTTGAACCCCAAAATTACTTGGCAACAGCGTTCTAAATATCAGACACCAAGGATATATGAAATAGCAGATTTCAAGGATATATGTCAAAGATATTAAATAAATATTGGGATGTCATATCAAATAATATGTATACACAAATCACAGATGTTCACAATTGATGCACCAAAGAATGAAGCTGTGGAGAAATGTGGTATTTGTCGCCAAACTTTTGCAAGATAATCTAGTCCCACTTGAGCCCTTTTTTCTGATTATTTACGTAAGCAGATATTTGTTAGGTTCACAGGTAAACTGAGCCATAAGCCCAAACCAGTCTTTTTTAAAACAAATAAAAATCCAAATCAACATATTTTTACGCTGATATGTTACTAGAGAGATCATGAAAATTATGATATCACCCAAAAATTGCAAAAGCAGTAAAGGATATTGCCTTATAAAAGGATACATTCACCAATATTTCAGCCATCTTGGAGATAGTTTTAGACAAACCTTAGCAAAAATTCAGAAACTTAGGTGTCAACATAAAATCAAGAATGAAACCAAGATCGACAAACCATAAACCAAAAACATGTCATATTTAAGACAAATTTGCAGCAAATAAAAATTTAGATTCAATTTTGCTATGAAAGTAACAGCACAAAGTAGTATCTCAGCTGATATCGTGTTGACCAGAATCTTTTCCTCCTCCTGCATAAGCTCACAATGGAACTTACCAAAGCTGCATATATCTACCTCAACATACTTCAATAATTATTAACCTTTTCTTGTAGCTCTGCATATTGCTCAGAATTAAGCTTATTAGAAGGCTGCACAGCTATTCTATGGTCAACAATCTACAGTCAATTTTGGCAATTTATCTCTACCACTGATGATTTAGTGAAAAGGAATGGAGCACACTTAGCAGCTGAAACAAGAGAACTGCTAGAATTCTTACAAGTTCCACTTACAGGTACGAAAGAAGATCAAAAGTTGTTTCACAAAACAATATTTCTTAACTTCTTATAGTTATAGCAACCCATAAGGAACTCGTTTGGTCGGAACCATTGAAATATAGAATCGTCAGCCTGTCTAAGCACTTGACCCTTATCCAAAAGAAGATAAATTGTTTTCTTACCATAGATAATAAAGCAGCAATAATTCTCAAAAATCATTTTAACCTAAGAACACATATCGCTTATATATGTTAATATAGAAATTCAGATGAGGCCATTTTGTGGGTGAAACAATAATTTATCTTCTGTAGCAAACATAAATTCAGAAGGCACTGCTTTGGGTCTAAAATTTCAGTTCCTTTGTAGTTCGTATGCATGAATATGAGCAAACCAATAGCCATGAGAGAAAGCATAAATTTATATCGGCTTTCATGCCATCTCATATGCAAGATAGGAAGGCACCCCGAGTAAGCACTGAAGAAAATAGGCAACAAACGATGTAAGAATATGATAAAAGTCTAAAACTTACATGATAATAATCTATTTTGCATAATCTTAACTGACTTAAATTATAAAAGGTTTAGGTAAAATGTGAGCTCATATTTAAATCATAGCAACGAGAACAATAAGAAGAGGTCAATAATCTCGATAATAGTTAAGGATAAAAAATATTCCATGGTCTGATCAGCTTGTTTGCTTCATAATTTATATTAGTTAGCTGATATACTAGAAACATATATTTACGGATAAATCTCACATCTTTACTTACTAGTTCTGGCAGAGGGAGGCAGCAAGCTTGAGACAACTAATATAAAACTTCCAAGAAAACCATCTATATCATTCTTCTACTCTGCATAATGTAAAACCAAAAATTAGAAATATCATCAAACAATGAACATTTATTGAAATCTTTAATGGAAAATAGTATACTAATGGAAGAAGTTTGTTATACTAATGGAAGAAGTTTATTTGATTCTGTTGCATAATGTATAAATGAATGCATATTATGCAATATGAAAGAAGGCAAAGTATTTTGGGTTTACATTGTCTGCATATATCTGGCTATTCCTTTCATATCTTCAAATGTTCTTTTAAGGATTGCGTGGAGGTTAATGATGTTTGCTTTCTATTATGATTTTACACCTGTTTTCCCCTTAAGTTAAATCTCTCGGAGCCCGATCTTTGAGTCAAAATTTCAAGGATATGATAATAGTTAGCAAAACGTAGGAGATACTCCTTAATAGAACTGAATGAAAGAATACGATTCATGTAGCCCACAACTTTGTCATAACTGCTTTATTACTGTTCTTGTTGGTTCCTATTGAGGGCAGGTATGAAATGCATAACTGATAAGTTTTCAGTGAAGACTTCATACTTCGGCAGTAAATTGATTACATATGAAGCATCAAAAAAAAACATGAATTGTCAAAGTAGAAGTCAATGCAGACTGTTGCTGAGCAACTAATCCACAATGAAAGATGAAAGATGGCTAATACATGTGAACTCAGGAATTGTCAAAAGGATAGAAACGCAAAAATTTGTAGGTAAGTAAAACAGAAAAGATTCAGGGCCTGTTTGTTTTACTAAAAAAAGAGGGAAATCAAAGAAATGGAAAACTATTAAAATGAAGAATTGGTTTGGGAGTGTTTGGTTGGCTAAAAAAAGAAGGAAATCAAAAAAATGGAGATGAAATGATGTTAGTTGTCATATTATTATTGGATGATGTGAGTGATTTTTTAAGAAAACTAGTTTTGATGTTGTTTGGTTGGCGAAAAAAATAAGGAAATGAATTATAAGAAACCTATTTCCTTTAGTTTGTTGTTTTCTTTTGGTTTGGTTCATTCTTAAAAATAAGAAATGAAATGAGATGAGATGAGTTGTCATTGTATTATTGGGTGATGTGATCCAAGATTAAGAAAAGTGTTTTCACAACTTTTTGGGATGAAAACAAATAAATGAAATGTTAATGAGATGAGGTGAATTGTTATAATATTTTATTGGATGATGTGAGTGATTTGAAATGATGAAAAGAGATGAGTTGAGTGATGTTTGGATGAAAATAATATTTTATTAGATGTGACGGATGAGTTGTTAGATGAAAATAATATTTTATTAGATGTGATGGATGAGTGATTAGATGAAAATAATATTTTATTAGATGATGTGGATGAGTTGTTGGATGAAAATAATATTTTATTAGATGTTATGGGTGAGTTTTAGGGATGGAAATGGAGGAAATAGTACTTTTTGAGATTTTCACCTTTTCCATTTCCATTTCTTGGTTTTTCTTGGTTTTTAGGAAATAACCAAACAGGCCCTCAAAGAAAAATATAGAGGTCAAACTTCAGGAACTTTGACACATCTGAAAATAGATTAGAATAGAGGAAATGCCCAGAGGAAGACAATTATATGAATTTGACAAAGAGAATAAAGTCAACTATTGGATTTGACAAAGAGAAACATGAAATCAAGTATTGGGCCAAGATACAAGTGAAGAACATGAAGACTACTGAATGAAAATTAACCGAGGAACATCAACACAAATTAGATGCAAGTATATATTTTCTATAACACCGAAAACAAGGTTTATGAGCAGAAATACAGAATCATTGCATTACTTCATGTGCGAATTCATTACACCCAACGAAAGGACAAAGCTGATTGGCTACATGCTTCAATGCAATCTAAACTACACAAGCTTTTAAGTAAAAGCAATGGTTTTTTAAATCTCCTAAAGTGTCAGAATAGTACATAGATGTATAGTTCTCTGGTGACTCATATGACACTGGGTGCTTAGATGATCACAGAATAATATCAAACCAGCTCTTGAACCTTAAAACGCTTATTGTTCAATCTCTCCTAAGACCCATCCCCACCCCCCCACCCCAAAAAAAAGAGGGAGGGGGGAGGGGGGGTGGAGGAAATAGAGAATCCCATCCCCACCCCCCCACCCCAAAAAAAAGAGGGAGGGGGGAGGGGGGGTGGAGGAAATAGAGAATAATAGAATTGATGATATAATCAAAAGATATGGTTCTCCATTAAAAAATTAGGATATTGGGTGGTAAAAGCATTACATCATTTGCTAGAGGAATAAAGTATTAATATCAATTGGGACAGATGAATTTAAAAAAAAGTGATTTTAGGTTAGGTGCATAATTATTGTTATCCATCTTTTTAGCTAGGAAGCTAAGTTGCATGGAAACGGGTGCGGGTACGGAACACGGTAAAACTGTAAAATATAGGGTACAGGGACACGACTACATATATATATTGAATTAATACGGTACATAAGATAAAAAATTTCCCCTTCATGTGCTATTAGAATTAAAATTCCGATCACATTTTTGAGTTTCTTTTATCATATTGATTATCGTGAATTGTAAACTACTCATTTTTTTACTAGACATCTAAACGACCCATTAACTATATAGTTTTAAACTTGGGTATGGACCGAAACGAATCCGACCCGTATTTCATTAGTTTCAAATGACGGATGTGAAGTGTAAGCTCTACGTCCAGGAAGTCTTTGACAAGTGTTTTAAATTAACGCATATATCATATAATTGAGTACTTATTGTAATAAATGCATACATATATTCAAGAAGTGTCCATGAAGTTTGGGTACGGGAAAGTGTCGGGTACGTGTCTAGTCCAGGTACGACTTCATTATAGAAGTACCCGGGTAACATAGCTAGGAAGTAACCTTTTCAGTTCGAATGCAAAAAAGAAAATAAAGTAGAGAGATGCAGAAAACCGATTTTCTATTGTTTCCAGATACAAGTTTGCTTATGATCTTTTTACTATACAACTTATCACTGCTGATTAAAGTGCATCCATATACAAAAACTTAGCAACCTTTGGATGACATGCCGCTAAACCCTCTTTGACTGATATGTCACAAGAAGAGAGAATGCATATGTAGTATGATCATCCTTCTATGTGAGCCTGCCCAACTCGGTTTAAAATTTTCATCAGGATCTTATATCTAATACTATTATAAAAGTGTGCTGGTATGTTAAAATATTTCTTTCAAAAATGTCATTTAAAACATATACATGCATACATAAAACAAATGCATCCATACATAAACCATACCTCATACATACATACCCCCAATTAAATGCATTATTATTCATAACCCCTAAAATAATTTCGCCATGACTAAGTTGTTTATATTTTTTATAACTTCTCATTGACATATTAGTCTCTTATAATTCTCACTAATTATCACTATCATAATTAAAAAAATATTACAACCATTCATCTTCTTACTAAACCACTATAAATCATAACAAATCTCTTACAAAAATGAATACATCATATGCAAACCTCATCCATCTCCATTGCACCTCCTCAAATCCTTAAACGTCTCTTTGTCCCGATTTTGCCTATTTTGATTTCATTCTCTGCACAACCAATCACTACTTACTATCTCTTATTATAACATGATGAGATTAGCATGACTTATAGCAAAAAAATTCTTTTCTACCTTTTATAACCTCCCAATAACAAATTAATCTCTCACTCTCTCTTTCTTAATTCTCACTAGTGATCACTACCATAATCATAGAGAATGTTTCAACTGATTTTTTACCATAAGAATTTTTCTTTGCTTGATTTGGCATATTATAATTTATGTCTTTATTGGTCAATCAAGATTTTTGAAGTTTGTATTTAATTTGTGTTTTGAGAACCATAAAATCCAATCAAGTATGAAATTCATGATTTAACAATATATGTTTTACTTAAAATATTTAACACTAATAACAAATTAATCTCCTACTCTCTTTCTTAATTCTCACTAATGATCACTACCATAATCATAGAGAATGTTTCAACTGTTTATCTTTATACTAGCCACTATAAATCACAACTAATTTGTTTAAAAATTTCTATGAATTCTCTTTTAAGTATAATTTCCTACTTCATTATTAACACTAATAAAGTAAGATTTCGAAATAAGCTAAATATAGAGTGAGACTTCGTGACATGTGTGTATTATTTAGAGCTCAAGGTCTTAAAACTAAATTTTGGAAATAACACATCAAGTTACTTCACTTCCAACTGAACAAGTAAGATGAATAATTGAAGAAGAAACAAAGAGTAGTTTCCCGTATTTATATAAATGAGTTTGAGATTTTTAGGTTTTGCTCTTACTATGTATATGCAAAGATCTTTAGTACTAGCATAATATGCACATAGCAGTCCATATTTTCCAGCGTAACGAAGAAAAAAGATTAAAAATTTTAACGTCAAATAATATTCAATCTGCTATTATGGAAATTAATTTTGAACTGAGGATATAGTTTGGTCATTCCCATCATGATGATGGTTCCTTAAAAAATCATGTACTGAGTTGGAAAATCCATCCTTCACAATAAGTTTTGTCTGATTGAAATTTGTAGGTTCAACTTAAAAATATTGTTAGAGCAAAATAATGACACACATTACTATAAGACCCCATAACTTTTTTTGATGATGTTTGTTCTTAACAATTGAAGAAGCTCTGATTAAGTCTTTTCAGAGGACTATATAGATTTTGGTTAATTTTTTAGCTCTGATAGAGTATGTTCTTAGTTGTCATAGAACATAAAAATTTTCAGATTAATACAAAATATTTAAATTTTTATTTTACAGTCTGTATGTTATTTATCCTTCCTAATGGTATAACTATATTACAAATTTGTGAATAAAAAACCCCGGCATGTGCTAAATTATAAACGTCAAACATTATGTTAAATTATAAAACAAATAGAATTATGCTTTTTAGGTAAATAATGTCTTTCAGGTATTCCATAAGTTTTATTAGAAAGCTCTGGTTTTATAAAACTAAAATTTTAGAAAAATTATAGAGTAAACCTTTAAATTTGTAAAACAACCCTGAAACTTCATAATTTTATAGATAAGGACCTTGCAAAACAACCCTAAAACTTCACAAATAAACCTCATAAAAGATTATATTTACTCTAGGATTTTAATGATAAAAAGATAGCAAAAATCCTCAAATTACATCTAACACCAAACTTATTATAAAAAAAAGATAAACATAAAATTAATCCAATAACGTGGAACACACGTGCACTATACTAGTAGTTCAAAAAGTCCATTATAGGATATAACTTCAAACAGATGATTGTTGCAGTGCTGCTCTGAAAAGATATCTGCAGTTATTTGTTCAAGTTACTTAATGGTAAAATAAGATTGTCACAATAAGATTTTATTGCCTCTTCAATCTAGTTCATAGAGTCAAGGGCAAAACTTGGCTGGCTTGAGGTAGTGCACAAGCGCAACCTTAACTTTGGATAACATTCCATTGCAGAATTGTCCATTTCAAGCCTTACGCTCCTCTTATCTGCCAAATCTATATGTATATTTACACGTGTTTTTTTTGGGAGGGGGATCTGGGGGAGGAGGGGAGGAGGGGTTGGGGTGGGTTTTATGTGTTTACTTCCAATAAAACATGGCCCAGTGACAAAAGAATTAACCCCTCTTCAATTTCAATTGGATTCAAACCATTTTCATAGTAACAAAGTGGCTGAAAGTCACTACCTTGAATAACTGTGATTAGTTAAAACTAGTACTTCAACATATTCTTGTTACACATATCTCACATTAACTCAAACAAATCATAGCCGTTCCAACAAATCATAGACGGTTGTAAAAGTAATCATCCCTCCACTATTTGATTGCATAAAAATCCAAACCATATGGAAATCTTAATTACTTGATAACTTGGAAAATATTGTTATTTCATCTATTTACTATAACATTTATTATTGCCCTTAACTATCAGAATAGGAATGATCCTAATTTTCCAATTCAATACTATTAAGAGAAATTATTTGGTTTTATCAAAAATCTCTCTTTTTCCACCCAATCTAGCGACAACATAAAATTAGCATTTTCATGGTCGTTACAAGGGAAATAATTTTTACAAAATAAAATTATACAACATGTTTCATAAGAACGTGACATTGGCTATTGATCTTCGAACTATTTTCCTTTCCTACAGTATCTGAGATAACAACGATAAGCTCAAGGTGCCTTCAAGTTGGTTTTTTACCATTATCATGAAATAACTATTTTTCAATTTGTAGGAGATTTTTACTTGTTTTACCTTTTTTCGTACACTTATTACTTACAATTAAGATTTATTTATATAATATATTGTATCCATTATTTCTCGAAAAAATATTTACCTCACTTCATTTTAGTTTTGTTTTACATATTAACGAAGATATAGAAAGAAAAAAGAACAACCCGATATCTTTGTATGGCAAAGAATAGACATAAAGACAAAAAAATGATAATCTAAAACATTTACTTCTTTTAAATTTTTCCTACACTTATTACCTACAATTAAGATTTATTTATATAATATATTGTATCCATTATTTCTCGAAAAAATATTTACCTCACTTCGTTTTAGTTTTGTTTTACATATTAACGAAGATATAGAAAGAAAAAAGAACTACACAATATCTTTGTATGGCAATTAATAGACATAAAGACAAAAATGATAATCTAAAACATTTACTTCTTTTAAATTTTATGCCTTATAAAATTTCACAATATAAAAGAAATTCTATCAGAAATATCTCTTTTTCAACTCGATTTTGTGACAACATAAAATTAGCATTTTCAGTCATCACAAAAGAAATACTTTTTAAAGAAAATTAAAATTAATATAGCATGCTTCACAAGAACCTAACATTGGATGTTGGTCATTGACATATCTTTTTCTAGTGTTTCTTAGATAATGACAAATGTAAATATGCTTGAGGTGCCTACTACTTCACTTTTATCACTAGTGTTTTAAATGTCGGTCGACATGTCAAACATGTCAGCCGACATTGCGGATTTAAAGGTCAACTGACACGATATGAAGATTTTCAATGCGTATTGCATTTTCATTATTCATGTCGGATATATCGAGTGACATATCAACAGGATGTATTATGGGGCATGTTAGTTATCTCGACCGATTTTTCAGTCAAAAAATTTGGCTAATTATTTTTTATTATGTTTATCTAATCAGGTTTAGGATTAAATTTCTGATGGAGTTAATATTACTTCTAAAGACAAAACCTAATCAGTTAGGAAAAAAAGACCAAAGTCATTTCGATCACTCCTCTTCTCTCTCTCCTTCAACATCTCATCGGTCTATTCTCCGAGCTGTTTCTTCGACATCAATATCAAGCAATCTTCTCCCTCCTTTTTTCACCTATTTCCTTCAACATTAATCCTAAGCATCAAAAGTTATTTAGTTTTTTTTATAGTTAGACAATATCATTTATTAAGTATGTTTAGATTTTATTTATGATTATATATTACACATTTGCACACCATCCGATATGACAATCCGATATTTTTCATATCCCCAATTTGCGTTATCCGATATGAATTTTAGTCGTCTGACTTAAACCCGATATCGACATTTAAAACCTTGTTTACTACTATCACGAAATAACTTAATTTTCAGTCTATAGGGGTCAGTTAAAAGTTTTAACTTTTTCCTATGCATATTACCTACAATTAAGATTATTTATATAATATCTTGTACATATTATTTTTCAAAAAAAATATATTTATATTTACCTTACTTCGTCTTCATTATGTTTTACATATTGACAAAGATATAGCAAGAAAAGAAATTAAATGATAGTTTCGTATGGCAAATAATAGACATTATGACAATGATAATATGAAATTTCTAATATCTGTTAAATTTATTTTTTTCTCTACAAAAAATTCTAAATCTATTTCTATACAAATTTATATCATCTATGAATTACTTGTGGACTATATTGTGAACCCCAACCTGTATGAAATTCCTAGCTCCGTCCCTGGATAAAGTACTTTATAACTCCACATACTAATATGCACCAAATCTAAAGAAAAAGGTTTATGGAATGCACCCATGAAGTTAGAAAATATACTGGGCTAAAACTGAGGTCAATATTCGTATTTCAGGATGATTGTTGGTTACATATTAAAGTAGTAAAGTTATGAATAGTTCTAGTTAAAGTTTCTGAAAATGAGATACATATAATCAGTTAATGTATAACATTTCATGTTCCATAATTAATGCACAAAAATAAGTAGTCATTCCGATAGATAGATTAGGATATCCTCACCATAAAATGTGTACAGGAGTTTCTTGCAAGTTTATCAATTGTTGCCTCAATCTCGCTGCCTCCTCCTTCAAGAACTAATGGATAAATTTTTTATAAGTCAGTTAATAAAGAACATCGTACTACTCAAGTAATAGAAAATTAGAGGATTTGTCAACTGATTCATGAAAATATGGATAATGCCATAAAGGTGGTGCCGACAACTGAATTAAAAAAAGTAAAGTATTAGAACAAAATATTAACCATTTGCATCTAGTTGAGTATCACCGAAATGAAACATTGATCATTTGTCATGTCAGTAAGATCACAATTGTTCTATATTTGTTGACTGGTGAATCCTCATATTCCAAGGACAGATATGGACATTGCTAAAAGAGCAGTGAACTTTCAAGAACTACAGACAACAGCAATGATGCACAAGTGTCATGTTTGATATGGTGTCCAAAACACACTTTACAATAGATGTGGTTGTGCTTCATAGCTCCTGGCTACTCAGACTATCAACCCCATTATACAAAGGATAACTCCATTCATTGAACATAAGGATACAACTTGGGCTGGTCAGGCTGCGTTCCAAAGTTTCTATTCCTAACCAAAACCGGGTTGGGCTAGTTCAGTTCCGGTCCTCTGGATTGCATTTTATATCGCAGATGGGCCATTTAACCCCGTAAAAGTCATTCTACATGGAGATGGAGTATCTTTTCTTAAAGCCAACCTTACAAGGATAATTTTTTCTTTATCTTAAGTGGAAATTCAATGTTCATCCCTAGGAGATATTTTCTAATATAATGAAAAACTTACATATGCACAAATTAGGGGTTCGGTCCATATTTGAGTTTCCAATATACTCTTCCAAACACTCCAGACTTTTAACTTGGCTTCTTTGTGCCAACACCCTGGTCGACTACAAAGAGAACATTAAACAACTGAGGTTTGAATGATTGGACTGGATATAAGTCCATATAAATAGCATAAGTTGAATGCTTATCTGAAGACACACATAGTGGTTAGATTTCTCAATGCGAGAAGTTACTGACTAAGAGCACATTTAACTATGCTATTCAGAATGTGCTGCTATTTCTACTATTTCTGACAGTCAGAAGAAAGATAATAAATGTTTCAGTGAAGAACTCGATAGGAAATACAACAAACTCAAAAAAATGACAGAAACATAGAAATTAGATGGTGGTGCTCTTAGATAATCATACAACTTTTAAGTAAGTGTTGCAAGGTGAAAAGAATATAACATAGAATTTTAGTACATCAAGCTTATAAGGTTTTATGACTAATATTGATCATATTTTGACACACAAAGAAGGCTTAAATAAAATTAGAAAAGAACTTCGCATAGATTAAAAAAAAGGGACAAATTCAACTTTCCCAATGGAAGGAAGTACCCATGTAAGATTTAAATAGCCAGGTAGGGAAGACCATGGAGGCTATGCGGAGTTCACAGGGTCATGCTTTCGTGCATATGAACTGTCAGAAAGTTCAGTACTTCCATAATTATCCCATACAATCTAAATTAAGTGAAACTACCTCATAATTATACATTGATTATAATACAAGATATATTCAAGGTTAAATTACAGAAAAGTGCATAAACTTTCTTTCTTTTTTTCCCAACAACTACCGTAAGCTTTCTACATTATGATAAACTAATAAAGGAATAAACTATGATGCACTTTCCTAGAAACTGCCAGTAAAATACCCTCCGTTTGTAACACCCTCCATTGTTTGGATTACAGAGGCCCATAAATATTCTGAATTACAATAAACTATCCTGTACTTTCCTAGAAACTTCCTGTAAAACACCCTCCATTTGTTGGGTAGTAAAGGCACAGAATAGAGATGGACTATGCTAATTTACTTGACCCAAATTGACTGAAAAAGATCAACCTTACTTTAGTTATGAGTTGAGTCCAATACATTTAAACAAATATCCGTGTAAATTTAGAGAGGGTAATTGAGCAAAAGACTTAGTAAGGGCACAAGTGTATCGGAGAACTACTTTGCTTTCATGCATAGGATTTCAACTATGAGCATATTCATATATTAAGATGATTGATGGATATATACATAAAAAAGGAAAGTATCAACATATGATTCCATTTATCTAACAAAAAACTTATTCTATAGTGTTTGGAAATAATGTCGTGCATTTTAGAAAATAAATTTGTGAATCCAAAAGATTTAGGATTATTAGAACAAGAACAAAATACATTAAACAATTTTAGTAAAATTGTGAAGTGGAATAAGCCTGTAGCACATATTGATTATCTAAATACCTAAGAATAATTACTTTTGATCAACCAATCATCTTGATAGTGACATTGTTGATGATGTGGCTCATCAAATCAAATAGAGATGGTGAAAAAAGAGTGCTTATATAATCTTATGCCACTGTAGAATACCTATGAGATTGAAGAAAAATTTTAATAGGAAAGCTATAAGACCAAAAACACTTTATGGATTAGAATGTTGCGCAATTAAAAAATAGGGTAATTGTGAATAGACCCCAACTAGTATTGTCCGGTTGCAAATAGACCTCAAGTAGTTCCATTTGTGTTGATAGACCCTTGTAGTATTTGTCCAGGTGCAGATAGACCCCCTCTTTGAACTTTTTTGAATTATTTAAGAGTCAAAAGATAGTAATTGAGGGTTTATCCTCATCAATAGAACTACAGGGGTTCTATCTATCTTCTCAAAACTTTTGACTCTTTTAATTATCAAAAAAATTCATTCGAGGGGTATATTCGCACAAACAAAACTATAGGGAATCTATTCGCGATATAGTGATACTGCAATGTGTCTATCCACAATTAACTCCAAAAAATAATTTGTGCAAAAAATGAGTATAAGAATGTTACGATGGTATGTAGATATACACTAATAAGATAGGATAAGAAATGAGTGTATCTGTAGAAGGCTTCAAACAAGAGACTGCTCTTTGAGGATATAATAAGAGAACTAATTAATACGGTTTTGTCATATACAATGGAGGTCACAAAATACACCAATTAGGAAGCGTAGTTAATGGAGCAAGTTTATAGTTAATGGAGTACTGCAAAAGAAAGTAAATAATAGAACCTAATGGAAGAATAGGATTCTTGTAACCTAAACATGAGATAAAGGCTCATTTGTTGTTGCTCTCATGTTTGTTGCTCTCAATGTTGGACTAAATGTCATCTGCTTGTAGTATAGCAAATCCCCTCCTAAACTGAATGGATGGGAGTTGCATATTGGCTTGGATCTAGTCGGTTCTAACCAAGCTAAGTGCATATGGCTAATAGAGATAGTGTCTCAACTTACCACTTCATACCGAAGAATCACATCAGCGACAAATATGACATCATGTGCACCACCGAAACCTAACGTGCAGTGGACTAAGTTCGACCTGACCATATGTGAATTGTAATTTTATCCTTTTTCCAACTTGAGCTTGTGAGCTCTCCAAGTTATGAGTGTTCCAACTTGAGCTCTAACCCCTTGCTAACAGAAAAATCTAAAAGCCAACTAAACCTTGAGCTTTGATATTAGCTTGTTGGTTTCAGAAAGGCTTGTGAAGAGAGATCGATGAGATTAGTCTACTTGGATCTAATTGACTGAAAAGGTTAAACATAATTTAAATCTTAAGTTCAACCATATATAACCATATATCCATATAAAGTCTAGACAAAATCTCATCTAATGCCTTTTCCCATAAACCTACACCTAAATTGAAAAGATGCAAGTCAATCCTAACAAATTATCTTGTTAGTAATGAGCATGTTATGTGCCTCGCATGTGATAACTCCTAGAGAAGATTGCTCTTAATAAGTTATGAGTAATACCCATTTTCTTGTTTTATATATCACATTATTAATATTAATTAATCTATTATTAATTAGCATAATGAACTTAACTTATATTGAAATAAATCTTTGCAAACCCAAACAATGATGATATTATATTCTAATTAAATAAAGGATATGCCGAGGTCTCATAAGAAGAGAGGAGGGACACTTAACAAGTGATTAGAAGAAGATTAAGAAGGGTCATAGCTCCCCTCATTATTCCCTTTCCCCCAAACCAGCAAGAAAGAAGAAACACAAAGAAAAGAAACAAAAGAAGAGATAAGAGGAGAAAAGGAAAAGATTAGCAAGGAGAAAAGGAAAAGATAACCAAGAAGAAAAAGAAGTATATAGATGTAATCCTACAACTAAATATCCTTTGATATTTGTTTTCAATTAATCCTCTAGATTTATTTGGATTGGCACTACCTTTGATATTAGGAATTGATAATTGTTTTGTTTCCGCTAATTTTCTGGATTTATTTGTATTTACGCTTCTTGAGAATGGTGATATATTTATGCATGTGATTTCAAAAAAAAGAGATTTTCGACGAGAGGATCACAATGACGACCCTATCAGCTAGCACGATGGGAATATGTTCAGAGACAGTCAGCAACAACACACAATAGGAGGGAATTGCAAAAATTAATTAGTCATTATGTGTGTTCTCTAATTTACGATCTACTCATTTTCACGTGAAAATGAAATTATTTCTAGACTTGTTTAAAAAAATAAAATTTTTGATATATGATTTGAGATATTTCATGGTTGTTTTAGGAATTGTACAGTTGAAATTGATTTTTCCATATATCGACAATTGATGTTGTTGTTGTACACTCTATGACATGTAAGTTCTACTAAATGATATGTAAATATCCTGCCACATGCATAGCGATGTTTGTTGGTTAATGGTGTTCATCGAGAAATTAAGCAAGTCAGTGACATATCAAGTTATGAAAGGCACATAATTATTGTTAGCATCCCAAGTTAGACAAATCATAGATATAGGTAGCCTATGATAAACATATCATCATTGTAGATACTTTGGTTTAGATATAATGTAAAAGATAGAATGTTCATGTCGATACTTTCTAGGCAAAATCTTTGACGTAGACAATCAAGGTGTCAATGTAGATTGTGAAATTGCTTAATTTCTATGCATAAAGATTATTCAAGAAATATTACATGTTATTATTGTTAATAATGAATATATTATGTAGATCTATGATGTTGTACTTATATG